AAATTATACTGAATATGGCTTAAACCTTACGAAAAAATGAGTACTAAATGGACTCAGAAACTGTCGTTCGTGAACTTAACTGCCCAAATATTGTTACCCGCCTATTTAAACTTACAGTCACTAACACTAACACTTACTCAATCAAGTTACTCAACAGTCACTCACTAACAGGTAATCAATATATGACGAGAACGATGAAGTGTGTAAGCAAATTGTGTATGTGTATTTAAGCAAATCAGCACAAGTTTAGAAATATTTTGCATTCTCCAGCAATTAAATTTCCCCGTGCGAAGGGACTATTGTCACAATTCAATCATTCTTCGTAAATGGCCCAAAACCGCATGTGCTTGGTATAGTGCAAACAAGACTTTACCCGGTCATTGCAACCAAATTTTTCATTTCATGAAGTCCTGTCTGATCAAGAGCACACGAATAGATGTCGAGGGCGTGACTGTTTTTCACAAGCCTGGATGCAAGTTCGTCGTAGAACTCAAAAAGAAAGATAATAAAAACGAGAAACAAATTAAGCAACTCCTTTACTTTCGTCGCTTTCTTCATGAACTTAGCGTTGTCTTCTTTGATATCATGCCACGAACGAATTGGTGTCTTCAGCTCTTCCCCGACTACCATTCCCGGACCATGAGTCGCTGCGCCACTGACGAAAAGCATTATCCGACCACCGGTGTTAGGAAAACATACCTGCAAAAATTTAAAATCAAAAAAGCAGACAATCACTAAAAAATTACCTCCATAAGGGTTACAGCAACTGCCAGGGCAGCGCCAGTGCATCGTAATGGACGATTACCGGATGCCGTTGACCAAGGATTCACTTGTATCTCTTCGATGAGTTCGTTCATAGCCATGTCACAGTGATGAATCGGCTGCAAGAACTTGTTCGAAGATGGAATTGGCAAGTGCTTTCCTCCTTGCTGACTCTGAACTGCAATCTGAGTTCGAGCAACATTCATTGCCAAAATATCCTGCAAAAAACAGAAATGATTCAATAAGTAAAACATTACTCAGGCGACACAAAGTGATACTGTGTAAAAAATCAATGATGACTACTTTAAAGGAGCCGACAGTCACTTCTGTGCTCGTCTTCAAGCACAAATAGAATTGCTGACCAGGTTAGACAACAGATTTATTTGACAGAAAATAAAACAGACTCAATACCTCAACGTGTTTTTCAGTTTAAAGCAAAGAGAATCGCAAATTTAATTTACTCCATAAACCCAAAGAAAAACCTTCTAAAAAAATATACAGTTCGCGCTCAAATGCATCTACTGACGTAAAGAAACAACAGTTTCAGCTATCAAATATGCAACATAATA